CTCTCTCTCTCTCTCTCTCTCTCTCTCTCAACTGGATTGATTTAGTTAAATGTTGAAATGGTGGTAACAAATTTCAATGAACAGTGATATCTGCTGATTGGGAATCATCAGTCTGCTCCTGTAATTTATAGAACTAATGTAATCATTCCTAAAAGTTTCTTGTTGCTTAAGAGAAAGATTTTTCTTCCAGAGCAGAGTGGCTCAGCAGTTAAGACTTCAGACTCTGGGTCCAGATTGCTTGGGTTTCATTTCAGCTCCATCTTTATACTTACTCTCGCCCTTTTAGGGACCCTCTTTTGTTTCTGTTCGCCTATGTAAAGCAAGGAAGCCACCGTGTCTATCGACATTACAGGCTGCTTTCCAGGTGGGTGGTTGACGTAGAGGCAGGTAGTGTTCCCGACGTGTGTCGGCCTCGTGTGTGAGTCCTCTCTCTCTCTCTCTCTCTCTCTCTCTCAGCTCACTGCCATGGACAGTGCTATCACCCTGTGGCAGTTCCTCCTGCAGCTCCTCCAGGAGCCTCAGAACAAGCACATGATCTGCTGGACCTCTAACAATGGGGAGTTCAAGCTTCTGCAGGCGGAAGAGGTGGCGCGGCTCTGGGGGATTCGCAAAAACAAGCCCAACATGAATTACGACAAACTGAGCCGAGCCCTCAGATACTACTATGTGAAGGTAATGCACATGCCAGTTCTGGGACAGTATAAAAGCCCCCAAACCAAACACAAACCACCGCCTACAAATACATTCCGAGTCATAACAACTCTATGCAGGGTTTATGGGAACCAGCAGCTTCATTTTTCTCCTACAGTTTGGTTGGTAGGTGTGAAGCAAGTAGCCAGCATTTACCCAACACCACCACCAGGGCTCCTTTGACTTCCAGCCCACTGCCATTGAGTTGACCGGCTCATAGTAGCCTTATCGGACAGGGTAGAACTGCCTCTGGCCTTCACAGGATCAGTCTCTCAGTGGGTCTCTTTCATCAGAGCAGCTGGTGGGTCTGAACTTCTGACCTTGTGGTTAGCAGCCCGACATGTAAGTCACGAGGCCACCACGCCGCCTCCAATGCTGCTTAGAGACTCGTAAATCAAGAATTGTTCCTTTTCTTTTGAGCTTATAGGAACGAACCCCTGGTTTATTTTAAGCCAGTTTATTGCTTTGAGAGTCTGGAATTAAGATGAAAGGACTTAATGTCCCAATTGGAATGCTACAAACTCCCACTAATGTGTTTTTACGTAAATAACGCAGATGCAGTTTGGTTTTTGCAAACCACACAGACTCCTGGCACATTCACTTTCCACGTTGCATGCTATTTACATTGGTGTGCTATAGTTGAAAAACCACAGTGCACATTTTTATTCTTCATTGCAGTTGTCTTTAAAAAACACACATTGCATCTACATTATTTATGTAAAAATACATTAGTGAGAGGCGGTTGAAACACTGGGGCCATTCAGTCCCTTCATCCTCGTTCTCAAGCGGGTACAGGATCGGAGTTAGATACAGACAACTAAAGGTTCTTGAGGATAAATAACTATCCGTGTGTGTATCTTGGAGCCCCGACAGTGCTGCTAATTGCAAGGTCGATGGTTCAAACTCACCAGCCAATTCATGTGAGAAAAATGAGGCTGGCTGATCCTGTAAAGATTTACAGTCTCAGGAACCCTGAAGAACAGTTCTACTCTGTCATAGAGGTTTGCTGTGAGGAGGGACTGACTGAGGGGAGGGGTTTTCTGTGTGTGTGTGTGTGTGTGATTTATAATTTACTTGTAGGAATTGCCATGTAAGTCTTAAAGGTTTATTTAATTTTTAGGTAACCTTGGAAACACTAATACCTTAAAGAATAGCTGCCAATCCACAAAGAGTTGATTTATTACATTTTTCTTAAAATTGCCCTTGTTCAAGCTTGTCATTATTTTTCATACTTTCTGGGCCCTGAGGTGAAAGTAAAAGAGAGAATAGAAGTAGGGTGAGAAGCCAAGGAGCTAGTTTCTGTAACCTGTGTGTGGCTGATCCTGTAAGCTCTCTGGAGCACCTGGCTCGGTGTCTGGAGGAGGTAGGGACCATAGCAGCAGTAAGTTCCTCCCTGCAGACTCAGGACACACAGGCCTGCCTGGTGTCTTTAGAACGATGTACAATTGCCGTTCAGTTTCTGACTGAGTCCCAATCGCGGTCGGAAGCGTTAGGCAGTCGAAAGCATACAGCTTGTTTGTAGTAAGACACGTATTTAAATGCTCTTGCCATAATGGTAGAGATTGCTTGGCATGGCGCGGGTGGCTAGGTGGGTTTAGATGATTTTGAAGCTTTGGCATGAGCCGTGCCTGGATACTGAAGAGGGAGCCTCCTTGGGTCGACGGGTTTGTATCTGCTGTGGGATATACAGCTGTGTGTCAGAAAGGATAAGCCTGCTTGTTTTATTTGCCTACAGAATATCATCAAAAAAGTGAACGGTCAGAAGTTTGTGTACAAGTTTGTCTCTTACCCAGAGATCTTACACATGGACCCCCTGACCGTGGGCAGGATCGAGGGAGATTGTGAAACGTCAAGCAGCAGTGAAGTCAGCAGCAGTTCCAAAGAGGTGGAGAGCGGAGGGAGGGAGAGACCCCCGCCGCCTGGGGCCAAGACCTCGAGCCGCAACGACTACATCCACTCCGGCCTATACTCTTCCTTCACGCTCAACTCCTTGAGCTCCTCCAGCACCAAGCTGTTCAGAGCCACCAAGAGTGAGACTCTTGCTGAGAAGTTGGCAGAGAAGAAATCTCCTCAGGAGCCAGCACCATCTGTCATCAAGTTCGTGACAACACCTTCCAAAAAGCCACCGCTGGAACCTGCTGCCAACACCATTGCAGTCGGCCCCAGTATCTCTCCTCCTTCAGAAGAAACTATCCCAGTGTTGGAGACTTTGGCTTCTCCCAAACTGGAAGCCCCAGTGTTTGCATCCCACACAGGCACCACTTTTAGCAGCAGCCCCCCTCCTGTTTCATCCCTGTCCCCCTCTTTGCAGGAGCCTCCAAGAACCCCCTCCCCACCGCTGAGCTCCAACCCAGACATCGACACTGACGTTGAGTCGGTGGCTTCTCAGTCGATGGAACTGCCTGAGAACTTGTCGCTGGAGCTTAAAGACCAGGATTCCACTTGGCCAGAAAAGGACAAAGCAAATAATTCATCACGATCCAAGAAACCCAAAGGGTTAGAACTGACACCCACCCTTGTGATCACGGGCAGCGATCCCAGCCCACTGGGGATATTAAGCCCATCTCTGCCGACAGCATCTCTTACGCCAGCGTTGTTCTCACAGGTAGCCTCTCTGTTCACTGCCACTACTGTCTGAGGGTCCTCACTGCCCTAACCTGGCTTGCGTTTATCCCCTCCAGTGCTTATCCAGCCACTTAGATTGGACATCGAAAGGCTACGTATGACCCTGGGAAAATTGTGCAGTTTCTCAGCGCAAGTAGCATTGCCCAGTAAAAGGTTTGGAGCACGCTGTTAAAAATTCTGTGCTGTATAAACAAACACATAGTGACTTTTCTACTTCCTTCTAAAGAACATTAAGTAGTGTCCCCCCCCCCCTTGTAGAGCCAGATATCTAAAAAGGCAAAACAAAACAAAAATGACACAAGCAAAGACGAGTGATAATCTCCAGTTAGGAAAACAAAGGCCCCGGAACCTGAAGAAAGCGTCCGGTGTGATGTTGAGTAACAGGTTTGTGCAGTTCCATTAGGCATTACCGTGCTCTCCTCGTACAGCATTTTATTAGCTAGATGACTCCCAGACCTTCTCGTTGTAAGGAAGGAAACCCATTTGTGACTCAGTTACCCATCGTTCCTCGACACTTGACTTCAGGTGGGCTCTCCGCTTAGGGAGGCACCTTAGAACAGCCGGACTGAGCAATACGTGAATTTTGACCCCTCCCTCTTTGGGTGAGTTTTTGTGATGTTGACTTTTCAGGTGTGGAGGCTTTAGAGTGAAGAGTGGGGTAGTGTTTGGGCTCAGGACCGACTGCAGGTGCACTCTCTGAGGGTGAAGGCATCATCCGGACAATTCACTTGCTGGCTCGTTTCCTCTGTGTGTTGCAGACTCCCATCATCCTGACTCCGAGCCCCCTGCTCTCCAGCATCCACTTCTGGAGCACGCTCAGCCCTGTCGCTCCCTTAAGTCCAGCCAGACTGCAAGGTGCTAACACACTTTTCCAGGTAAGCGGCCTAAACGCCTGTCTCAGGTGGTGGGGGCATGTTGAATGAAGAAACAGGCAAAAAAACGGCGCTGTCCCCATTCAAGTCTGTCACGCAGAAGCCTAAATCTGCTAAGCACCCTGTGGGTATAGCGTGGCATTTCTAAGGACCGGGTGCAGAAACGCCCAGCGGCTTCCTTCCCTCATTCGCTGTGATGCTCCTTCCAGGGAGACCTAGGGTTGGTCAGTGTGCAGCAGCAGATTCTCTTCTGTTCTTGTCAGCCCTAGCAACCCTCCTTTCTGGAAAGTGTGGTTCAGCCCATGTATGCATTGGGCACGGGGATCGCTCTGCACCCGGGTTTCTCCTTTTCAACCTCGGCATTGTCACCTGTCGACTATTTGTACTCACACGTATGTATGTATATGTGTATGATGTGTATACACACACACAAATATCTTTAAAATTTTATTAGGGGCTCTTACAACTCATATGTATATATTTATACATATATACGTGTAAAACATTTCATACATCAATTGTATCAAGCATATTTGTACATATGTCACCATCGTCATTTTCTAAACATTTACTTTCTGTTTGAGCCCTTGGAATCAGTTCCTCTGTTTTCTCCCCCTCCCCTCCTTCCCACCCTCGTGAACCCTTGATAAATTATAAATTATTATTTCCATATCTTACACCAATTGCTGTCTCTCTTCACCCACATTTCTGTTGTTCATCCCCGTGTGTGTGTGTGTGTGTGTGTGTGTGTGTGTGTGTTGCGATCGCGTGCATATTTTTAATACATACTGTATTTTCTTTCCCCCAAGATGTTAGGAAAGGTCTTGCTTTTTTCTTCTTCTTGGGTTTGTTTTAACTTTGTCGTTGTTCCCAACGATGTCCCCTTTATAACTTGTGGTGGATTCCTGTAGTTCTTAGGGCAGACTGCCCTCCTTAGGCTTTGTCTTTCATTTTCCACTTCTTTGGGGATGCTAAGGGAAACGAAGAAAATAAGGATCTTTCTGCTTCTGCATTTGTTTGCAAAAAGCCCTAAATTGCGGGCAAATAAGTGTGTGTTGAGAATTTTCCATCCTTTAGTTTTAAGTGTTTCTTGGCCCCTCACCAGCAGATAATGGAATTGTGGAGTGATCTTCTGACTTAGTGTGGTTACGCAGCTTCGTCCTCAGACACACGTTGGTGACTTTTGCTAGGACAAGCATCCTGTAACTGTTTGGGCCACTGGCGATAGCTGGGCAGGGCTCTCTGGGTCCATGAGTTGCACTCTGTAGTGCACATTATTATGGACTGAATTTTCCTAAGTCTTCATCTGGGAAAGAGCTGTGAGGCAAACTGGGAACTGAAGACTATAAAGGAAGGACTAGGGTGGTCCTTTGTCCCCGTTCCGCCTAGGTGTTGGAGGAGGGTGTTCATATTATAGGTGTAGGGCCCATAGCCTGTTTTCCTGCACAGTTTGCATTAGGATTCCATCTTCTTGCATGATGGTTATCACTGTGCTGGCTGGCGGTTGCGCAGGGAGCAGCCTGTGAGCCACTGCCAGCCTGTCCTGTCCCCTCCGGACTCAGGGGCACAGAGTGCTAAGCGTTGGAACATGTAAGGGGATTGTGATGTGTTTTGTTTTCCTTCGCAGTTTCCTTCTGTCCTGAACAGTCATGGCCCGTTCACTCTGTCTAGCCTGGATGGACCGTCTACCCCTGGCCCGTTCTCTCCAGACCTGCAGAAAACCTAACATGTCTCTGAGACATGAGAGGCCGGGGAACCGAGAGATGTTCAACTCGATTGCATTTGAAGTGAGCAAATGATCCTTCCACAAAACAGATACCGGGCTCTGCAGCATTCGCTGTTCCCACGGAAGAGCAGCCTTTTCAGGACCCCTTTGATTCGACTCAAGCTGAACTATGCACAAAATGCCTTAATTGGAGTTGAAGCTCCCCCTCCCCCCCTCGTTCTTTTCATATTTTGAGCTTTTGGTGGGCTCTGCCTCCCAAGAGCAGTTATAAGGACAAAGTTACTTATTCTGGCTGCCAAGACCCTTTGGCCGGGGGCGGGGGAACAAAAACAAAACCCCCGTATACTTAGAGTGTATTATTTCAAGAAATACAAGTTAAGTGAAATTGGTCTTATCTTCGGGATTCAGTGTGCTGCTGGGAACCCCTAGAGAACATCCCAGAGTAAACTGGGGGAGAAGGGGTCCCTGCTGTTGACACAGTCCTGTCCTATTGGGAGAGTTTGGAGTTTGCTGTGAACTGCGACGTATGTAACAACTTCGCGGGAGGGCTCTTGTTTACATCTGCTGGGCTGGCTCTCCTGGCCATCTGCGTGCACTTGTTTGGGCCTGTCAGCCGCACAGAGCTGGTTTGCTGCCGCAGGGGGGACTTGGATGTGGGGCTGAAGGCAGTGTCGGGGGCAATCCGAGAGGGTGGGGCCCCAATGTCTGCCCTCTGGGTGGGGTGATTGCATGCCATGGTGAGGTGAGTGCTGCAGTGAGTATGAAGTGACAGGAGAGACTTTGTCCCAGGTAGGAGACACTCTAAGTAAAGGAACCCCCCCCTCGCACGCGCACACACGCGCCCCTTCATTTTACCTCATTTCCTATTGTGTCTATCTTCTCTCCTTGACCTGGGAAGGTCACACAGGGTGGACATGTTCGTTTTCCTGGCAAACAATTTAGGTCTTAGGCTGACCCCTTTTCTAGACTATTCCATGTGGCACCAGAACCAGGTGCAGACAGTGTTGACCCCCCAGATGGCATTGAAACCCTCCCCACAGGGAGACCTTCTGTTGGTGTGTTTGGCTTTAAAAGCCCAGAATGAAATGAGACGTCCCCACCTCCCTCCTGCCGATCAAAGGATTTTTTAATCCTAGAACTGGACCCTGGAATTGAGTCCCAGGAACCAGCTGGAACGAGGGGTCAAGACCTGAGGGCACAGAACGACCCGGAGGCAAACCAGCATCTCCAAGATGCCTGGCGCTTCCTGTCAGCGTGGTGGGCAGTGTGGACATGCGCTCCTGTGGAGGCGTGGAGGGAGCAGGTGGAGGGGTGGCCTTCCTGCTGGTGGGCAGGGGTGTGTGCAGCTGGCTCTGCCTGGCAGGGCCGATGTCCTGCTCCTGAGAAGTGCAATAGTAGCTCGGACAGCCGGGCTCAGCAGTGAGGGGGTCAGGCACAGGGGTGCTCTCGGTCCATTGAGTTTGCGTGCCTGCTGGAAATGACAGGGAGACCCCGAGCAGCACTTTGGCATAGCTACTAGGATAATGAACACTGTACCTTCAGTGATCAAGGAAATACTATTAACCTGAGTTAACTAGAAGTTTTAGATTTCAAAGCACAAAAGTATTTTACCTTTTTGAATCAAAAGGAGAAAAGCCATTTGTTTCAGAGACAATTTCTTTGCTAGTGAGTCACTGTCTCAGCACAGGGCTGCCTGGGAAGCCGGGGCGCATGCAGAGGCAGTCGCAGGGACTTCCTAGAAACCCATTCTGTGAGGCCTCTCTGTTCACCCATCCAGGAAGCCACTGAGAGGCTTGGGCCTTAGGGTTTAATTACGATCTGCCTTCCCTTCAGATCAGTTGACTTTAGTGGATGCTTCTCTCCGTGTGCATGCGAGCGTGTGTGTGTGTGTGTGTGTGTGTGTGTGTGTGTGTGTGTGTGTGCCCTATTAATGAACGTTTACCACCTTAGCTCAAGGTCTGAGCTAGAAGTC